CATTTACCCCAGTGCCGCAAAGGCTCCCACCTACGGTGGGGTAAGAGGGGGTCGGATGTACGCAGTCTTACCCCTGTACTAAAGCACAAAGAGTCTGTTTCCGGATGACCCATAGTGAAAATCGCGTCCAAAATTGCATGAAGTGACTGTTGCTTCATAATAAAGAAGCGCATACAGTTTAGTGAACCATTTTGCTTTATTCTCAAGCCAAAAAATAATGATTCTTTGGCTCCATTGCAAATAATGAGTTATACATTAAACACCAAAAATTGCAATGACACCTGACGAAATACAATTGCATCAAGAAGTGAATTTATGTAAAGGAAATTAATTAAAAAACTATATTTTAAACAACCAACCGCCTTAAACTCTAGGATATTAAAATTAGCATATAAATTATTTTCTGTTCTTAAAGGAACTCTAACATCACACGTAGTACCATTTAGAATATACCTGGCATTCATTTAGGTTCAATAACAAAATACGTAGTATATCTTAGATATGCCTTGGCTGGATGTGAAACTGGCAAACCAAAACATTTACAAGAAAACTTCTTGGAGCATATCCTGGACATTCGCAGCCAAAGGCTGCATCATTACAAAGATGCAAGTGTTAATCACACGCACAACTCAAAACTTATGAAAGTTATAGCCCTTAACTTTCCTAAACAGTGACATATCCATTCATAAAACTCAGGCTTGTAATCATACAAAGGTTTAAAATTTGTCAAAGGGTGCTACCAAAAACATTGAAACTTTATCAAATCATGCTTTATTCTAAACATATATCGGTGATAAAAATTATGGAGGGAAGCAATAACCTAGCATTGAGATAGTTAAATTATGCATAGGAACACTTGAATGCAGGGAGGCTGGAGGGCAATCATTCCTTATATGGATTTGTTGTGAACATGAGCTAAGGGTCCCTCTTCTATTGAGTTCTGCAGCAGGTGACACTAATTATTACGGAGTAGAAGTTATATTGCACCACTAAATTAAAGTAATAGTAAATCAATCCTTATAAACATTATAAACATTTTAATATTGTTGTTTTATCACAGCTAATGGAAAAGTGGACATCATCCTTCAAACTTACACATAAAAAGTGTTAATTAGTATCTAATGCAGCCACACTATTTTGACTTTAATAAAGCATTCAAAAATCAATCACAATTTTTTGTCTAAAAACAATATGGTCCTTGGAAAAATGAAGCGATTACAATGAAAAACTAATAAGACTGCTATGTAAGTATACAAGTAGGCATATAACAGCTCATATATCATAATGGCTCACGTGGTTACAAATTTGAATGATTAGAATACATTCATACCAGATACATTTGTCTTCGCCTCACAGGAAAAACAGAACTTGCTCAACATCTAATTCCAAGTCTGCAAGATTAGTGTAGAATTTGTATCTTCACCTTTTGATTTGTTTTGTATTTAATTTGTTGGTGTTCTATTTCTAGAAAGTGTTAGTTAAGGATTTAAGCTTTATTGGATTGATTGCCAAACCTTATCTTCATACTTACACAAATTATTTTTACATGGTAGGAAAATTGTTCTACAAAGTTTAGAATGTCATGGTTGGAGATTTGTTCTTCTTTGCATAGTAATTATTTTCAGCCAAATTCTTACAGATAAAAAAATGGTTTATTGCTGCAATTTTTATCAGAATAATTTGAGCACTTAAACTGATTAGTAAAACTTCTATAACTCAATAAGAGCTCGAAAAAAACCAATGAGACGGAATCAACCACATTCAATGTTCAAGATACTGGTTCATTAGTCCCTCTTGACCGGCTCTATGCAGTAATAACATACATATAATGGTATATATGTGGGCGCTAACTTTCTATATATATGCATGTTGAAGTTAATGTGAGAAAAGGTATTTCTGAGTTCCGAATTTGTTAAAATAAATTTGATATTCAATATCCACAACTTTCATGACTTTTACTAGATTTTCACCCGTGCGATGCACGGAACAGACATTGATTAATAATTTTAATATTTTTAGTTACCGATAAATGTATCAAAAGAGTATAGATGAAATATATAAATAAGATGTTACTCCGTATAACTAAAGAAAAGATAACCGTATTAAAATTATATCTACTACAATTAGAAAAACATAATTTTGTATTTCTCTTGGTACTGTATCTACTACAATTAGAAATATAGTTCTCTTATCTAATTTTGTAATCACCAAACAGACTATTAATGCCATAGATTTTAAATAGCTTAAATCATCTCAGTTATTACACCAAAATTTTAAAAAAACTAAAGACATAATTGTCTTACGATCACTTAAAGCCGGTTTGGTATCCATATTTCTCGGCTTATCAGATTTACCTACCAACTTTTTCATTAACCACTTAATTTTTTATTTTACGGGTTTAATTGTGTGAAAATAATAAAAAATAAGGTTAGTATTACTTTTCTAATTGTAATAATTGAAGTTAGTGCAGAAGACTTTTTTTAAACTAATTTTATATAATTTTTTTCTTCTTTTATTAAGGAAATATTTTTTGAATATACGTAGTATTTTCATATTTTTTTAAAAAAATCAATAATTAGTCGATTCATTTGAGTGTGATATTACCAAACTACCCTACACTGACTTCACACCCATCCAACGAACTACTCAATTTATTTGAATATGAGTTGCAGGACACAATTTGCTTTTGACATACTCATGCACGTGGCCCGATGATCAGAACTAATGCCTAGAGATTGGAGACAATACTTCTTCCATCTGGATTGGAGACAATGCACGAAGTATATCCTAAAAATACTTCATATTAATACAAATTTCTTTTAATTTGTCCAGAAAATATTTCTTTGCTTGCAGCATTAGCGTAGACTTCTTCCATCCCCGGGTGTGCCGGCCTAGCTCGCTCCTCTGTGCCAGCTCGCGCCAGTCTCCACCGTGTCCGCACCTTCTACCATGGCTGTACTGGTGAATAGTGGGATTTTTTCTCTTTTGGACTTGGCGACTCAGCTTCCAAAAATAATTATTTCACCATATATATATATATATATATATATATATATATATATATATATATATATATATATATATATATATATATATATATATATATATATATATAGTGCTTTTCTTATACATCCCTCCGCACCACTTTTCCATCCGGCCAAGTGAATAGGATCCGTCAGATTATGTAAACGGTGGAGATGTCTTGATCATTAAAAAGACAAAACACCTCTGTCTTTTACGCCAAACCCTCCCTCAGCCTTAAAATAAAAAGGGAATATTACCGGCATATTACTAAAACTAGTTAAGTTTCCCATAATATGAGTGTAGTTCTTTTTGGTCATACGTATGAGTTAAACTAAATAAACATTTTTAGAACCGGTTAAATCCACTGCATTGAATGACAAGAATACCCTGATAAATAAATGGGGTTCTTCGACGCGGTACTGGTCATAGTGGGCGGCAAGAAAGGAAAGAGGGCGATCAAAACTTCAGCCGAGGAAATTAGTGATTAGCAAAGAGAATTTTACGGAGTTCATTTATGGAAGGAATTTCAAACAAAACCCTAACAAAGAACGATGAGGGAAAGAAAGAAAACCACAAGCTGCGGTTCGAAGGGAAGTTCAAAGACGGCATATGTGCGAAGAAAAATGGCAAGGGGAAAAACGAAGGCCAATGCAAACACCACCGGCGCACACTACGAAGTAGTTACAATCGACGGCAATGTGAGTTCTTTTTTTATTTGAGATAACTTTCTTAATTTGGTTAATTTGAAGTCGTATATTGCTGCATAGAGCTGAAGTTGTGTATGCATTGAATTAGGAATATATTTGAGTATGAGGTGAATTGATTTTTAGGAGGGGGAATTGACTTGGTTTTTTGGAGTGAATTGATTGTTAGGACGGAGGTGATTTACAGGGCATTGATTTACAGGGCATTGAGTTACTGCGCATTGATTTACTGCGCACAAGTTTTAGTTGGTGTGATGTACAAGGCATTGATTTTTTTGTTTTGAGTTTTTTGCATAAACGGGCACTGCATGTTAAAATCACAAAGTGTGGTTCCTGATTTATGCTTTGGCACTATGCATTGAATGTTGAGATTGTGTGAGTTGATGGTGAATTACAGGGCATTGTTTTTTATTCGAAAAAATGGGGCATTGAATAATGAGTAAAACATAAATTGTGGAATATGACTTAGGCTTTGGTATTATGCAGTGAATGCAGGTTAAATATTATATAATTAGAAGCATGCACAAGCACCACATTTTCTATATCCTTGAATTGCTTTTTCTAACCTACCTCAGATACTTACTATTGGCACTTCTGTGGGTAAGGGTGGGTGCTTAATTTAACTCTCTGTGACTAAAGCAGCATATATTTACTGTATACTTATGTGCCTTCATAGTATCATCTTGGGTTAGTTTGTGACTGTTTTTAAGATGGTGCAATAATTTTATGTGTGATGTACGAGGGTCATCATAATCAAGCATGGATAGATACCGTTCGCATTCATACACTGAACCTGCCCTAGCTGCCTGTAAAAATTTCCAAGACACCAAACGTGCCGATCCACGAAATTTGGATTTTATATTACCTAAAATATGGTAAACACAAAAACCATGTTCCGCGTGTGGAAACACTGAACGCACAGCATTTAAGATTCCCTCGTGGCGATCGGACACAACATATAAGTCATCCCTATGTTTAAGAGACTTTTTCAACATCTCGAAAAACCATGTCCAGTTCACAGTGTTTTCAACACTACAAATAGCAAATGCAAGTGGAAAAATTTGTTTATTGGCATCTTGAGTGCATGCGGTTAGTAGTGTTCCTTTATAATATGACTTCAAAAAAGAACCATCAACAATAACTACTGGAATGCAATGTTCCCATCCATCCCTCCATGGCGCAAGAGACATAAAAAAATACTCAAATTCTCCATTTAAATTGCAAGAATATGAGACAATAGATTCTGGATTTGCTTTATCTAGCATATGGCACAAAGACGGCAACCTATTATAAGACTCCTTGTCAGATCCTCGAACCAGCTTCATTGCAATTTCCCTTGCATGCCAAGCTTTTTTATAAGACATTACAATACCATAAAGTTTTAGCATATCTGCCATAATATTTTGAGGTGTGTAAACTTTTTTGGATGTGTCATCATATTCATGCTTTATGAGTTCGGCAATAAGAGAAGCAGATGCTTGACGACTATTAGCTTGTCTAAGATCAATTGAACACGTATGTTTGATATCAAATCTGAAATATCGAATGAATCAAAATGAGAACTCCGATGTATAGAATTTAGAATGAAATGGCTATTAAGAATGGATTTCAATGCAGTAACATATGAACTAAAAAAAATCAGACCTTTGCACTTGAAACAAGCCGCTCTCATCTACACGGGCTCCTCGGACAGACCACTTGCACTCTGGATCGATACAAACTACATGCAACACGTTAGGAGATGATGATTTCGTCGTGTATTGGAAAAAATTTGTGATTGCAAGCATCCTCAAATCAAAATCAAGATCTTTCTTGCTATTATAAATAGCATGGAGAGCAATACGAGTGGGGTCAAAACGGGAGACAGAAGATGGGGGCGGAAGTTCAAATGAACTTGGCGAGTCATCATTATACATATCTTCATCATAAGAACAAGGGCTTACAACACTGCATTGAATGCTAGAATCCTGCTCTACACCATCAGCATACCATGTGGTTGCTTTATCCGCTCCACCAACTGCTTCCAATTGAGGACTGAATTCCAAACCTTCAACATCACAGACATCATTATTACAATCATTTGGCACACCTGCAGTACATTCATTCATCAAATTAAAAAAGAAAAATGAAATATATAAAGCATAAGACATAATGTAGTTATACGAACATGAAACAAATCACTAAACTCACCTTCAAGTCCATGAAGTATTTCGACACAGAGGGGGAGTTTATTCAGTTCTGATTGAATGCACTTCATTTGCAGATAAAACATCAAACTACAATCATCATTGACAATAAGAGGGGGAGGACATGCTTCGTAAACGTATGAAATCCGTATACGTTCGCCGGAATATTTAACGCCCAAGGAACCATACACAATAGCGCAGAAATCGTGAAATGAACATGACAAAGGAATATCAATAAGAATAGACGATGAACTGTGAAACTGAATCTTACTATCCCACTCCCCATCTACCTTCACCATCACACGTATGTTCGGAGATTGGTGCGGATGATCTAGAAACTCCATGGATGTCAAACAAATTTACGATTGCTCCAATATACGGAAAACCTTTTTTAAGCTTGATATAATAACGAACCATACATGTCGGAGATATAGCTCCAGCTCTTGAGACATGAAAAATCACACGTATCTTTGCTTACCTATTTTAATGGATCAATCATTGAATGAAAAACAGTTACATGGGAAGAAAATGAGAAGACTAGGGAGTGTCTTAATCACATACATACTTACCGTAAATGAACCTGGAGGGCAGACATGGAACGAACGAAATTAGATTCTACTCGGGTCGTATGACTTAGTTGACCGGTAGTACATATTTGGGAAAATTTCGTTTAGGTCTTATTATGGGAAAACAGATGAGTTTTAGTAATACTAGGGGTAAATTTCTCAAATAAAAATCCCTCTCCCGTATACTTCTTCTTCAATTTGTTCCGCCGACTCTCAGGATTAAAACTCCCGACTTCAAGAAAGACTCCCTCAGCCTTAGAGTCTTTCTTTTCTAACGATTAAAATAGCTGCTTCAGCATGCTTTTCTCTTAGATGGAGGTCTGGGTTCAACTGTGTCGTCATCCACTCAGGTAAACATTCAAGTGCTTTCAATTGTTTAATTTTACATTCAAGTGCTTTGGATTAAGAACATACATTAAATTCTTACTTTTTCGTTTGTTAAAACCTGAAAGGGGAGTTTTTAAATCCTTACATGGTTTTGTTTTTTTTAACTGGTTAAATCACACGATGCTATAGCTAAATTATTTTAATTCTGGTTAAAATATTTTTGGTTAAAATATTTTTGAGGGTAATGTTATGTTTTCTCCATATTATGTGGCCTTGGTGTGTTTGTAGATTAGAACAAAGCCCTGGTCAGTACATGTTTTTATTGATTCAACTGTATTTAGTAAAAGAAATTTACTAGTGAATTCTAGAAATTTGAAGAAAAATTTGTTGTTGGTTTCCTTTTTATTGTTAATATAAGGAATTGTTTTATAATTGCACGTAATCACTAATATGATTAATTTGATGTTTTACCTCATTAGGAATTGAGTGTGTGTCTATTTGCTATTTTAATTTGTACTCGTAATTTCCCAATTACAATATTCCACTATTGTATAATTTCAGGATGTCATTTAGTAGCAATGCTTTTATAGAAGACTTTTTTTGCCCTTGTCATTGTGGTCCAATGCAATTGAAGGAAACAATGTCGGGTGTAAACAAGGGGCGTTGGTATTTCAAGTGTGGTTGCTATGGCATATTCATATGGCGGGATAGTTCATGCCAAATTTCTCGTGACTCAAGCTTCAATTGTACTACAAGGAAAATTGTACAAAAATCAAGTGATGTTAGCGGTTAGCCGCCGAGAAGATAATAGCAATTATGTTGATGTTGTGTACCAACTTAAATGTATCAAGTATTGTTTCGTAGTTTGTATAATAGCATACATTCTTCATTGCCTAGCGGGAAGTTAGAAGTAACATAATATTTGTAAGAGGTGACTTCTATCAAGGAAAAATGTAGTATATTCATTGTAACATGTAGAAGTTAACGAGTGTCTGCTAATGAAGTGTAATGCACTACTGGATGTTTGTTTGTTGTTAAGAGACTGATTTGCTTCTCTTGTTGGTAAAAAAATTGGAATCATTATTAATTGTATCGATGGGGAGTTGAACAAGTTCATACCAATAGTTAAGGTATGACCTTGATTATTTAACAAGTACCCACAACTCTGGTTTCTGATATTGCTGTAAAGAAATATTGCAGTAAATTCTTTACTATATGCTCCGATTCTACCAACCCTCAACCAGCAAGTCAAAATACATATCTCTGATAATTTTTTTAACTTATGCATGACTGCATGATAAGAGGGAAAAAATATCAACAAGTTTGCTATGTAAAATAACTAGTATCCCCTTTTTAGACCAAACAAAAATTAGATGCAAAATATTACCAGTGTATATTGTAGCTCCTCTAATAGCTTCTCACCAAATTGTGTGAGAGCTGAAACTGTAATATACAAAAAGCTGAAAGCTTCATCTGCCAATGATGATGTTACCATGCTCAAGGATTATGTTGGACTAACCAAGCTCTTAAGTTAAATGGCGATTGAGATAATTTATTATCAAAATGAAAAAATTGCAGTCCACAACTCCAAACTCCCTAGACCACCACACAAAGTCAAAGCAAACAAAATACGCACTACAATAAAAAAACATCCATGAAGATGAAAATATTGTATCGATAAGCACATAAACAAATCATCCATTATCCTCACATGTGAAATCTTGAATATGGAAGAGCTCCAATAAAAGTATTTCCATTACAGATGATACAAAAACATCCACATTCCGCTGTTGTAAGAGTACTAGGACAAGTAATATCACATAGCACATAAAATATGAAGTAAAAACATTGCATAACATGTGCTCCTAATAATCCACTACACTTGTTCCTCCATTGTTTCATGTGCCGCCTCCCTGCAATAATACACAAAAAGTGACTGTTACTTTGATTTATGAAACTGAAAAGTAGACCATATAAAAAACAATTAAAACACAAGTAGCATATGTAGAAAAAAAATAATCACTTCTTACCCTTTTCCTCGTTTTGGACAATTACGTTTATCATGCCCGTGACCTTGGCAAACACGGCACAAACGGTTCAGTGAAGTCCTCTTTTCTAGGCTTGACTTTAATCGCTTCCCACAACCTTTGTGTCGTGCGTGATCAGGCTCTACATATTCTATCGTACACGATGCTTCGCTTCCTTTACTTGACCTTGTTTTATCACTTGACTTTTTGGATAGATGATCCTTGAACTTTTTTCTCCACTCTTCAAGTAATGATAATCCAAATTCTTGGTCTTCCGGTGACTCGGATATGAGATCATAGTAACCACTAAAAAACGCATCATATGCCTTGCTATTCCCCCATATCAACGCTCTTTTGCAGTCTTCTCTTATCTCATCCCCTAAGTCATCCTTTACAATTTGTCTTCTTGGACCCTTCTTCCAACGGTCCATAATGTACAAATTAGGAATGTCATATATTTTCATACTATCTAGGACCCTTAATAAATGCGCACATGGTATCCCCATGAACTCAAACTGCTTGCAAGAACAACTACCAATTTGTGTGAAACGGTTGAAATTCACAACACGACTTCTCTTTAATTCAATTTCATTGGAGAGACCTCTATAAGTTAACCTGAACACAATATTATCTCCCTCCTCCACGTTCTCATCCAAACTATACGTGAAACAATTGTGTAACCCTTTTTGAAACTCCCGAAACATGGTTGATGTATACATATTTGCTATTTGTAACTCCGCTTCAGTCCCATATTGAAGCTTAGGACGCCCATTTCTATCCTTGTGATCCAATTGATTCTCACGCTCCCTCTGTCTTGAGAGTGCTCTATCAAAACGGGTAACAAACTCATTGAAACCGCACCCATTGTAAACATATTTTTTCAAGAAAGAGTGTGTTGTTTCACTCCTTTGAGTGGAAGACATACAAGCTGCAAACACATTCTTGAAATAAGCTGGTACCCAGTGGTCCCGAACTTGAAACATGTAAGAAATCCATTCATTTTCTTCCAACCCAACCTCGTTAATAAGCTTTTCCCATTCCGCTTCAAATTCATAGGGCGTCTCGGAATATTTTATAATACTATAAATTCTATTGAAACCGTCCAAAGAATTTATTACACCACCAACCTTTTCAGGAATCTTACGAATAATGTGCCACATGCAATACCGATGGTAGATGTCTGGCAGCACAAAATTAATGGCTTTGGCTAAAGCTGGGTCTTGGTCAGTGATAATAACATTTGGTTGAGGCCCAGGCATTGCTTCTAAAAAAGCCTCTAAGATCCAAACGTAAGATTCAAAGTTTTCTTTGTTCATGAATGCACACCCGAACAAAACCGTTTGAAAATGATTATTAACTCCAACAAATGGAGTGAAGGGAAAGCCATAGGTATTTGTGTTGTATGTTGCATCAACAACAATTGTATCACCAAAGAAGTGATAGGAGCGCCGACAAGTGGGATCAGCCCAAAATGCCAATTCAAGCTTGTTTGCACTGTCTTTTCTAACCTTGTAAAAGAAAGATGGGTTGTGCTCTTTTTCTAATATGAAGTGTTCCACAAATAATTGTGCATCTTGGCCCTTAACTTTCATACTTTCATCTCTAACATAATTTCTCAAATCGGTTTCAAGAAATCCAACATCACCCACACCGCTAGATTCA